GGAGGGGAAAAATGCCTTTCCCCTGTGTGTCCTTTCAGCTCCCATGACCCACTGGAAGGAACTGCAGACAACCCTTGTCTTCTAAACCCACTCTCCATCATGTGTAGCTGTGCTTGCAAACAACACCTAGTGAGGAGTGTAATAGAGGCTTTTTCCTTTCCGCGCACCTGCCCACATCTCAAGTGGGCTCTGTGGCTTACCCTACACAGCACTGTTTTGGTCCTAAGCTCTTAATGGGGTTTGATATTAGTACACCCCAAAACATGGGAGCTGGAGTGAAGCAGGTGAGTCATTGTATGTTCAGATCTTCTCTTACCACAGGCTCCATGTTGCTTACACAGGACCTGAAATCTTACAGCACTTTCTTTGGATTGATGCCATTTTCTGTTGGAGCAATACCCATCTCTCACCATGTTGATTAAAAAAGAAAGAGATATCAAATAGTATCAACTAGCATTTAAAATGTATAAATCCAGATGCATTTATGTATTTTACACAGTGATTAGATAGGTGATACTATTGTTTTATATCAAGAAAAAATTTAAAGGAAAAAAATTTAAAATTAATGATTAATCACATGCATCATCACTGTGAATTTCTCTATTAAATACAGCTGTTTGTTTGGGATTGTTGCTTCCTTTCTAAATACCTTTACCAGCTCTCCCTAAAGTATTGCCAGGACCAATGACGCAGTAAAGATAGAGACAGGACAGTATCACCACCGTTTTTGTGTGTGGTTGCTGTCTGTGCTGGATTGTCCTGTTTGTAGGACATTCACACCACTGTATGGCTACCCAAATCACCTCTAGTTCCTTAGAGGTGAATCTAAGTTTCAAGCTTGGAAACTTTTTTCCAGGCTTTGTTGCTTAGCTAAGTGACAGGCATCCTCTGAAACATCTGTCATTGCCATTCTTTGAAACTGGGACTGTCAGACTGCTGAGGGATATATTTCTGAGTAGACTTTTTCCAGAGAAAACGCCTTCCATTTCTGCTGGCCCAAGAGTCCGGAAGCACTTGTCTGTGTAGCTACAGAACATATGTCTTCTTTGGGAGAAAAGTATTTTAACCACTCATTCTGTAGACTTTTGTATATTCTTCAGTTTCTATCTTTTGGGTTAATAAATTTGATGGAAACTTTTAAAGTTTACTTTGATTCAGTGCTAGAGATTGTCAGGGGCTTTCTAGACAGATTTGATTTGGAAGCCAACCAAGGAGAGAATAAAGTCATCAGTGTTTCAAATGCAAAGCAACCTGCCTCTGTCCTTTGCCTCTTACAGATGCGCTGAGGAGGTCAATGTCACTGTATATTGTGGAGAGAAGGCAGACCCCACCTCACTGCTTGCAGTCCCACCAAACTCTCTGATGAAGGGCAAGAAGAGAGAAATGTTTTCTGAACTGCAGAGACACTTCACCTTTGTAAATAATCTGGGAACTGTCTCAGCCTGTGCAACATTCAGACTTTAAATTGCTCCTTCTTTTTCCAGTTTTTCAGGGTGAGAGTGTGTATGAGAAGAGCATTGGAAATTAAGAGCTGGGTTATGTATGAGGCCAAGAGATTGCTTACAAGAATTTTTCCTCCATATGGATAGCTCTCCAGCTTCTAATTAAAAGAGATTTTCCTTGCTCTGATGAGCTCGGGACACACTGATCTCTTATGTTGACTGATAAGCTTTCACTGGAGCTAACAGGCCTCCTCTTCCAGGTTTTGACTAGCACAGAAGGAACTAATTGTTGTTTTGTCTTGGGCTGGTCTCTCCGTATGTGTAGTTATGCTACATCAGTTCATACCCTATTTGCAGGAGAGGCTGGTACTTTTTCTAAAATTAAGTAATTTTTAGATTTGAACGAGCCAATGGTGAGACATGCTTCTATAGGCAAAAACTGCCCATTCTGGAATCTTTACAGACCCATTACCAGGCTGACTTGTGGGTTCAGCTCAGCATGCCAGAAAAGATATACCATTGTTCGAGAGAAAAAAAGCTCACTATTATTAATGAAATGTAACTTGAGTCTAAAGTTTTTTAGTTTATTTCTTATTTCCTGTCCTGAACATTAGCTTGCTTCCTGTACCTCAATATTCAATGATTGTTACTTGCCAGTGAATTTGTTAAAAGTTGATTGGATGAACAGAATATCTTTTTATGATATCTTAATGTATTATAAGGGCTAGGTATGGGGGAAAATGCATCAAATATTTTATCCTATACAAAATTTATTATCAAGAACCACGCTTACATTGTTCAGCATTGCCCATACTGAAAGACAAACAGCTGTTTATTGTTCCAATGTGTCATTACAAAACCATAACCCTGATTTAACTAAGACCGTAATTTGCTCCAGAATTAATATGTAGTGGCTGATGAAAACAATAATAATTACATTCTGTCTGTACTATAAACTACCTTTTGTTATAGCTCATTGAACTGATGCCTCTAATTTGGGTGAATGAAATAAGGCTGTTTACAAACCTTATAAAGAAGGGGAACCTTGTTGTCAAACCAAGCAATGTCAGGACCCCAGAGGTTTTTATACATCCTCCCCACAACAGCATGGCTACTCCAGATCATGACTCTGCTCTTCTAGCATGTGTGATATTTAAAGCCAATAAATCATTAAATTAGTACAGTAATTTCCTGGTCAACTTACCTTTAGATATTACACAAGGTATTTGGTGACATTTCAAAACAAGAATCATCTGTCAGCTTCCTGCCTAGGTTTTCTTGCCTTGCCCAAGATCTACTCTTGGCACATGCTGTCTCCTTTCCCGGACCTCTTTTAACCTCCTGTAACCCTATAGGTGAATTTTTTATTCCCACTCTGTCCAGTCTTCTGAGCTTCTTATGGTGAGAATTTTTAAAAATCAAAACCAACCTTGATTTTTCTCTTTTTTTTTTTTTTTTTTTTTTCCTGTGTGTTTTTGTTGTTTGTTCTGCTACTTTCTTTTCCTTCTTTGCTCTCTCCAGATAATCCAGGGAGGTCTGTTCTTAATAATTAGCAGAAACGTAGTTACTTTATTCAGGCAAGACTTAGTCTTTGGCAGTCATCCCATTCAGAGGCAGGCACTTAGCCTCCAGTCGTACTGTCCTTGCCAAGACCTATATAAAATATTACCACACAAGCAAATGGGGAACTGGTAACCTCAAACAGAATTTGTAAATTCTATGTAGGCTTTATTATTTGTTCTCTCTACACTAAAAAGTTTGATATCTTGAATCTAAGAATAAGCATTTGCTATTGCTAGCTGTTCAGCTGTCTGGTCCTTAATCTGGAATACTGCGGGTGTCTGGTACCTTTTGGTGGCTGAAGTACTGCTACCAAGTCCTTTGAGCACACTATTTGATGTGTTGTTGTATTACGAGGGGCTAGTAAGAGCTACAAAGTGACCTTCTATGTTGAAAGAAAAAGGACTGGGTTTTGGAGCTCTGCAAGGCTGTAGACATAGCAACAATATTAAAGGACACGTACACAAATGTAAATTAGAAACAGGGAAATAAGATGTTTTGGATGGCATTTACAGGAGGATTTTTTTCTTAGTATGAGCAAACATTTTCAGTTGACTCCACTTCTTTTTGACCTTGTGTAGTTGCAGTGTCCTCAGAGTTTCATCTTTACCAGCTGAGGGAACATAATCTAATTGGTGCTTTCTTCATGCCACAGGAAATTGCTGTAGCTGAACAAGTGCCTTACAAAGGACACTCCAAGGTATAGAAAGCAGTTGAAGGAGACAAAAATGTTAAGATAGGTTCTATAACAACCTAAATTGGGCTAAATTCAGCCTAACATATTCCCACCTTGTGCCTGTCTTTTCTGCTCCCTCCCATGACCCAGGCACTCGCTCTGGAGTGGGCAGCCACACAGTTCAAGGGACCCACCCAGGTGAAAAGTAGAGATCCCCACCTTCTCCACAGAAGGTGATTGGATTTCAACTGAGTGAGTTTGAATCAGCTCAGTGTTTGTTTGGACATGAGCACTGGAAGGAGCAAAGGGGAGGGAACACAAGGGCAGAGCAAAGGTAGGCTTGACGTAATGCAGCTTGAGCTGCTATGAAACTACCCATAGACTGTGTAAATACTAGTAAAATCGGATGTGCCTGGGAATATTTCCAGGCACTAGAATGAGACTGTCTATGCTATTAAACTGTTAAAATGCTCCCTGGCATGAATTTGACCTCTTCCAATTAACATTCTCTGCAAACAATTTCTGGGCACAGTTTGGTTGCTTGAATGGTCCCAATAGGCAATTTGCAAGCATAAACTCTGGTCTTTCTGTGCCAGTTGGCTGCAAAGCCCAGGAATGTTTCCAGGCATGTTGAGTTTAACTAGTATAGACCCATCCCTACCATCACATCCTGCCCCAAGTTTGCAGCTACCACCAGTCAGAAAAGGGAGGTCTGATCCTGCCAGTTCTCTTGGTGAGAGCAACCTAGTCCTTATGAGCTAATTTTAGTAGGATTTCTGACCGTAGAAGAAAAGGATGTATATTTTCAGGCCAGCAACACTACTGATAAAATTATAATTTTATGCTGCACTGTGTAGAGTCTGTTGCAAGCCCTTGTGATAAGAGAGGGCTTGTCCTGAACAAATGATTTTCAAAACAGACAATAGCAAAGCAGAAAAAATGTGAAGAGATGAAATCTACAAATCAGAAATTTTATTTCCTTTTAATAAGGTTGTAAGAAATCCATATTTTGCCTGCATTCCAGGTTGGTGGGCTGGGGGGGAAGAGATAGCAGTAACTTGTTATATTGTTGTATTTGTGCTGTAGAATATTTGGCCACTTATTATGCAGAGTCAAGCTTACATGAGTTTTTTTTCCAAGTCAGTTGCAGAACTGGGAATGCTATTATTCCTACTTCTACATATTTAAAAAATCCACAACTGCAGCATTTTGATTTCCTTTTCAATTTGCAATGTTAATAAAAAAAATGTACTCTGTATTTTGAACTACTGAAGCCAGGTCCTCAAATATAATAAGTGATTGCTTTTTTTTTTTTTTCACAGTTGCCTTTACAAGTTACCCTCTACATCAGGAAATCTGAAAAAATGGGATTTTTACATCTCTCCAGGTATACTCACTTGGTAATTCTAATAATCCATCTACCTAATGCACTCCCTCAGGGAACAATTAAAGGCATTATTTTAGAGGAGCCTTTTAAGAATTGCTGTACACATGAAAATGCGTTCTTTTGGCTGGGTTTCTCTAGGACCCAGAGTGACTGGGATTGACAGAAATCTTCACCTGAATGAATTTTCCCCTTATACCTTATAAGGAGTCCAGGAAAACAAGGAAGTGATAACCATGTTCATGTTACTTTATGTACAGCTTGTCCGCTTTACCTGCTCAGGTAGCCCTTGTTTTCACTTTTATTTATGATCTGTCTCAGTAGGGTTGAAGTTTCCTCGCAATCCAGTGTAGGTGACATCTGAAAACATATCCTCCAGGAATGTATGTGTTTTACGACATTCTACCTTTACACGGACGATAATTAACATGCTAATATTTTTTTGTCACGCAGCCAGCACTGAAAACGAATGGGGATTGAATTGCTTTGCCTCTGTTTCCTATTTCTGCAAAGAAATAACTATGTGCAAGGTAAGGCTCAGGGGTAGGGAGATCCATTTCAAAACCATTTTTGCACTGTTTCTTAATTGAAGTTGATACAAAATAGCTTTCTGGCTTCTGTATTTAATCATTCTTTTCTGTTTAATGACTTTTTTTTTTTTTTTTTGACAGACTGCTGTAGGGCTACCCTGCAAATTCATCTGAGATTTATGTGGTCATTATATAGCACAACACATATGAAAGAGATGGCCATTTGAGCAATTTTAGTTATACTAATCATTGTTTGATCCACAGAGAAACTTAATATTATACATCTGACTGAGTGTTTCACTGGTACTTGTATAATAAATTAAAATCAGATAAAGTATCTACAGACCTGAATGAAGCAATTTAAACGTATAGAGTGAACATAAATCTGTTCTTTTAATATCCCTGGTTGTGTTGGAAATGTTTTACCTGCACCATACCAGAAGCACATGTAAGACTTTATCAGGTGCACTGGAGAAAACAAGTAATGTTGTCACTGAATGACATCCATAAAGCATGCAAAAGTAAGTATGTTAATTGCCAGCAATTGTGATTTTAAAATTTTTATTAGAGAGTTAATCTTCTACCAGCAAAAATACCATTATGCAGGAATTTTATCAGTAATCCTAAATATGGCTAAATATGTGCATTTTTCACCTCCCACATTCTCTAAATGACAAGATTCTTCATAAATTGAATGATTAAATACATTATTAATAGACTTTTATCTTCTTGGATTTAAATTTAGGGACTTGTTCTCAGGAAAGCGTAGTGACTTGTGAAGATTGTTTGCTTTCTGGACCACACTGCGCTTGGTGTTTTCAAGAGGTAGAGTAAATGATACAAAAAATTTCAAAGTAAGACTTGAAATGTTTGTAGTAACTCTGCATGATAAAGTATTGACTTAATTGGGTCAACCTGTGGTTTTGTAATACATGCAGCACTTATTGAAGCCTTCCTGGGGATCACAAGTGGAATTCAATCTAGACTTTATGGTCTATTATTCATTATTGTGGGTTTTTGTTGTTTTGTTTTGTTGTTGTTTTGTTTGGTTTTGGTTTTGTTTTTTTTCCACCTTATCACTTTGTTGTTTTTTTTTCCTCATCTAAAAATATATAAATATAAACAGAAATAAAAGTGGTATTAGAGGGGCTCAGGTAATCAGCCTCGGGGCTGATTCACCCACAGTGCTGACGATGAAGCACCAGACATCAAGTCAGAGACGAGACTGCATCTTATATATTACATGCCAAGCCAGACAGTGTAAACAGAAGGTGCTCCAGTCAGTCTGCATATACAAAAGATTACTCCGTGGTTGATATTAAGTATGATGGTAGTGTCAGTTTTATAATTGGTATGATATAGGTGTAAGTGTTTTGACTAAAACATTGGGTTAAAAAAAAAAAATCTAGATTTGTTTCCTGTATATCTGTTGCCGACTTTCTGGGTAACCCCAAGCAAGTCATTTAACATCTCCGTTTTTAAAAACTTCACCAGCAAATGGTGATAAATAATATCTCCTTATTTCACAGTAAATTTTCTAGGTCTTAGTTCATTAATGTTAGCAATATAATCACTTATCACAATTAAAAATTTGCCAGTAATAATAAGTTTTTTTCCTGATAGTTTCTGATTTACACCTTTGCTGTTAAAAGTATGTCTTGCTTTTCTGAATAGCAAAATGATACCTATGATGGGACTAACATACTGATTTATGCAATAGCTGACAAAGACCAAACAGCACTTTTTTAGAAAATAAGTTTGCTAAAAGTAATATGGCAGTTTGCAAGTAATGCTACCATGGGGAAAAAACCTCACCCACACCAGTGTGTTTATAGTAGTTTTTATGTTTGTATTTAACAACCAAAGAGGGATTTTCTTGAAATGAAATTTGATCACATAATTTTGGCTAATGCCATGTATTTTTAGAAAACAAAAATGAAACACAGTTTATTGATTTAAAGAAAAAAACCCTGTGGAACTGTTGAAAACTTCAGAGTAGTAAACATGATTTTTTTCTTTGTCCGCAGGCTCGTTCATTAGTTTGACAGAGAACAACACATTAAGAGTGCAAAAGATGTAGGAGCTTTAGTGTCAGAGTAAACACAAGTGCCTCCAAAGAAACCACTGTTTTCTGTAGGATAAAAACACAACTTGTAATTGTATTTGAAATATGAGTTTTCTTTTTCACACTTGCTTTGAAAAGCCAGCGACTTGAAGTGTGTAACTAAAGGAGATGATATGGATCTCCCTGTGAAAGTTTTATAATGGTACATGATTTTTATGTGCACTGTATTCAAGAAGCAGTTGACTAGAGTTTTGCCTGATCAGATTTGGTCTGAAGAATAATTAATCACTGTTCCTATCATGTGTTTTAACATTGCTTCCACCAAAATATAAGATCCCTGATAATTTTCAGGCACGAAGGGTGACATTTTGGTCAAAAGAAGGATCCCAGTTCTGGTTTTAATAGGTTTAAAGTAAATTTGTTTTGCTTTGGTTGGAAAGTTTTTCAGTGACTGAATTCAAAGAATATTTGTGGCTTAATGGTTGAGCCCTGGGTTGCTTGCCTACATCCAGGAGAAAAAAGAAGCCCCATGGTATGGGCCCATGACCATCAGTCGGGAATTGAATGTTTTGTTGTCAGTTGTGCCGGGCATTGCCCAGTTTTTTGTCAAAAGGTCTTTCAGGCCAGAGCAGTTTCCAGTTCAAGAGGCAGCTGACTGGTTTGAAGGATCTAAACTCTTGACATAGCTCTAGGAAATGGTAACAAGGCACAGAAGTCTCTTTGTAAAACTAACCATTAACTACACAGCTACGCGGGGATAGTACCTACCCTGCAGCAGTGTTGTGGAAAGGAATGCATACCAAGTGCTTTGAAATGAGTAACAGAAATAAACTACAAGCTATCCAACTGATATTGACAGGCTTGTGATTTCCTCTGGATGGGAGAAGGTCAAGTAGGACACTGGGCCAAACGTAACCAGACAGACGTGGGCATGCCGGCCACCCCACCGGCACTGGGGAGCGAGGGAGGGAGGCTGCGGTGCTTGTTGGGCACCAGGCAGAGCAACAAGGGCTTGCTACCTGCTTCAGTGAGCCTGCTAAATGAGTGTTGAGGAGAAAGGGTAGGTCAGAAAAAATCAGTGAACACTGGCTACCTCACTGTCAGTTTGCCACAAAATTTATAGGAGTTTATTATCTGTGAGACCTCTACTGTTATTAAATGATGTTATTCCATCAGCAGTTCAAAACTGTTTGGGAAAGACTAATGAATTTGCATCATAATCCTGTAATAGAAAAACCAGGGACTCATAAGGCCTTTGTGTTATCATTCCCAGTACTGCAAGAATCCAAATGCAGTGAGTGGCACAATTCCCATTCCCCAACAATAGAGCAGTTTCTCTCAGGATACCAAATCGGTGTAAGTTACATTAATTATACACCCGTGTGACATGATCCATGAAGGGCAAATTTAGATTTCTGTGCCACCTAGATCTCTTTCTGCACTAGTTTGCACTAACTTGAACCTTTGTTTTTGTTTCCTGCATTAGATTGACCTTTTGTCAGACAGGTGCTTGTAGCTGGTCAGTAAATACATTTAATTCATCCATTCTTTAAACTGTTTGCTTTAGAATTACACAGACTCAGATGGAATTCATGGGAGGTGTGATACCCCAGAAAGCTTATTGTCAAAAGGATGCCAGTTGGATTTGATTGAATTTCCCATTTCAGAAGTAGAAATTCACAGAAACAAGCCTCTAACTGTAGCGACCCAGAAAAACAATTCTGATGTCACACAAATTTCTCCTCAAAAATTAACTCTCAGGCTTCGACCAGGTAAGTCACTCAGTTCATAGATGTGGGATATTTTTTTTCAGCCATTGTGATATATTGAAGTTTCTCAGCCTGAATGGTCTAAAGAAAATCATGATAGAATAAAGATAAAAAACCTGTGTTGAGGCTAAAATTATCTGTTGACTCATCAGATGAGAACTAGGTTCAATTGAGTTCAAAATACTTTCAGAAGTTCTATTTTTTTAGTTGTTTCATTCTCTTGCCATTGAGGTGACAGAGAAAGATTGGAAATCCCCCCCACCTCCCCAGCCCTGCTCCAGTGTCTCTCCTCCACAGGTCTGGTAAACAGCATATCTCAGAGGCAGCATAAAATCTTGCTTTGAGGATTTACAATGTACCAGTGATATTTATGGAAAAACTCCAGACCTGCTTTGGGGTCCTGGAGATGTGAATTCCTCCTGGAGAAAGTTTGAAATAAAGAAATATAAGAGACAGCCAGTTAGGTCATAAAGGTTTGGTACAGAAAATAAAACCTGTGTGTACACTTTGGTTTTCTTTAACTTTCTAAAGTACCTGGTATGTCCCATAAGTGCTACCTATAGTTTTAATTAGCTTCATATAAAAAATCATCTAAAGCTCTATACTGCTGAAGTGATATTCTCATATTTTTTCAAATTACAGCAATCAGTTGTAAATCTATGCTTATGGCTTCACTGAAGAACAGTTTAGAAAAAACACTAGAATTGCTTTAAATTTTTCAGATCCCCGTTTGCGTTTTTTGCTGACAGAGAATTTTTGAAGTTATTTTATTAATTCTACTGGTGGTTTAAAATACTAGATAACTTTCACCATATATGTAAGTTTATGAAGAAATTGGCATTGCTCCTAACTTATGTGCAGAAGTGCTAACGTATCCTGTATTCCCATGACCTTAATAGGACATGAAGAAACAATACAGATCAAGGTTCACCAAACCGAAGATTATCCAATTGATCTCTATTACCTCATGGATCTTTCAGCCTCCATGGATGATGATCTGAATACAATCAAAGAACTGGGTTCAACTCTTTCTAAAGAAATGTCAAAACTGACAAGCAACTTTAGACTGGGGTTTGGATCTTTTGTTGAAAAACCAGTTTCACCATTTATCAAAACTACAGCTGCAGAAATAAACAACCCTTGCAGGTAATCAGGGAAAATACCTACATCTGTTCGCATGCCAACATTAAGTCATAACATTAATCTTTAGGATAAAATTTGATTCAGCAGTCTCACTGGAACCTCTGCCCTCTTCCAGTTGTAAATGAGTCAGTTTGAGAAAAAAGATTTGTTTCTTTTAGTTTCACACTCTGATCATTATTCTGTTCGGTCTTATGATATTTGGAGAGAGGAATCTGGGAGAAATTCTGCTTTTTAGCTTTTGCTACTAGTTACAAATGTGCTTAATGGGTTAACAACCAAGTATGCAGAGTAATTATGTATTTTTCTTTAATTTTCTAGAATACACATCCATATAAGAATTTTATGACATTGCTATACTAAGTAGTTGTGAACTCAAATCCAGAGCAGAATAGCAGTTTCCTTTACCCATCAATGTTGTTTTCTTGTTGGGTTTTATTTGTTTGTTTGTTTATTTGGTTGGGTTTTTCGTTTGTGTTTTGTGGTGGGGTTTTTTGTTTTGTTTTGTTTTGTTTTTGCCCCTTAAAGTCTAACAGTATCCCCCAAACCCATGCTGCCCTAGCCCTTCCCTAACCTACGTGGAGGAGACGCCGTGCTCTGCAGCCTGAAGCAGGACTGCAGCAGCTTGGTGGTGCTCTCTGAATGCCGTTGAGGGACGACAGATCCTAATGTGCTTCTGAGTATGAAAACAAGGCACAGCCTGGAGCACGGCAAGGCCTGTATGTCAGTAACTGGATGAATTATTCTGCTCTAGGAGGCATTTCCCAGACTTTATGCAGACCTGTTCACTTTGCCCATCTTACTGGATGCTCATAGATCTAGTGAAAAACTAAGATAATCAATCCCAGACACAGAAGAGAGATACATGACCAAAACCTAATCCAGACAGGCCTGCAAAGTAGCCACTGAAGTGATTTCTCACGCTGTATTATCCATAAACTGTCTCACTTATCTTGCAGAAGTGTACCATATGAGTGCTTACCCACCTTTGGATACAAACATGTTTTGCCATTAACAAATGATGCTGAAAAATTCAATGAAATTGTGAAAGGACAGCGAATCTCTGCTAATATAGACACGCCAGAGGGAGGATTCGATGCAATTATGCAGGCAGCTGTTTGCAAGGTAATTGAAACTTCTAGGTAAAATATTAATTATTCTGTATATTGCCACTTCTGGTATTATATGGTTACATTTCAAAGCAGCAGATCATTATTTTTCAAGATTTTTTTTTAATGTAGTCCAAGACCCTCATTAGATTTGTGTGAAAATACTTTTGGCTGTATCAAGTGGAACATGCATATTGCAATATTTCAGTGTTTCTTTTTAATTGCCAGAGATAAAAAACAAAACAATTGTATAATTACTGGGTCTGTGTTCTTGATTGTTTTTTCTTTAAATATTTTGGATTAACTATGTTTGGAGTAGTAAGCAGACTGACATGAACATGGTCAGTCCATGTTATTTAACACAGGAATGGGGAGACAAAATGTTAGCCAAAGACAATGGAATGAACATCATCCCTTAAGAGATGTTGTTATGTTTTTGACACTCCCTTGAAAATGATTATCTTAATTTATTTTGAGGTGCCGTGCTCCAAATCTTTTGTTGCTTTTCTATATTGTGAGTGCAATACAGCCTGCTAAACTAATGTATTTTAAATGACAGGAAAAAATTGGATGGAGGAATGATTCTCTACATTTGCTGGTGTTTGTGAGTGATGCTGATTCCCATTTTGGGATGGACAGTAAACTGGCAGGGATTGTTATTCCTAATGATGGAAACTGTCATTTGGACCACAATAATGAATATTCCATGTCAACTGTTCTGGTAATTTACTATGAATTTTGTACAGCTCTTGCATTCTGGAAATTTAAAGACTAAGATGAGCAACTCAGAAAATGAATGGAAGTATACTTTTATCATTGAAGTGTGTTGAAGCTGGGGAATCCAGATATTTAATGTAATCTATTTTATCTGTAATTGCACATTGCAGTAAAAAGAGAACAGTGTGTTTTGTATGGAGTTAAGATAGATGATAACTAGGAAAAAAAGAAAGCACAAATATTATTCCTGCTACCCAGAAAACACATGGAATTAGACTGACTAGTATTTCCTTCTGCAGGGAAGGCAAAATTCACATTAATCGTGTTCCCTGTAAGGGTGTGAATTCAGGAGGAGTTCGGGAATTTTTAGGACACTGTTCATGTAGGAGAATTTACCAGCTTAAGATTCAGTCTTCAAAAATACTGAATATATGCACTATGGTGTTCAGTGTAAGACAAATGCGCTGTTACTCTGATGTAGTGTTATTCTTGGGTTATATAGATATCACAGATGCTACTGAATCAAGTGTCCCAGTATGGAGGCTGGCACTGTACTTTTCTCAGAGGGGTTTCTTTAAACACAACGCCAGTAAATTATATACACTCTCGTTTATTTTTTATACATGTAGTGCTTAATTATAGTTTATACTATACAGAGAATACAGTGTTAATTATGATCATTTGAATGTGTGTTTCTTGGGAGATAATTAGCAACTGGATGCACATGAAAAACAGATTGAAGCAGCACTCTTCCATTTGTTTGCAGGAGTATCCCACAATTGGACAATTAATTGACAAACTTGTGCAAAACAATGTTCTATTAATTTTTGCTGTAACAAACGAGCAAGTTCACATATATGAGGTAAGCAAACTAAAATGTTCAGTTCGCCAGTATTTGTTTTAAAGTTCACCCTTTTTCACAACTGATACAGTAGTTCTAGTACTAAGCACTCAATTCTGCAAGATACTTATGTAATAAAAATAGCTAGGAAATTGTTTATCAGATGATGTTTCTTTTACTTAGGAAGTGCTTCTTCATGTATTGATTTTGATGTTCCTAGATAACTCTTAAATTGGATTTCAAGTTGAATCACACTAATTTTTTAAGTCAAGGATTATCAAACTAAGCATTGTTAAACTATTCAGTGTAATCATTATGATTAGCTTTTTGTATTTTATAGAGGACAGTTGAGCCTTTTCTTACTTTTATAAGACAAGAATACATTCTCAAAAATACAGTTGTCTTCATGCTCAAGTCTGAGATCATGTGTTTTTTTTTTCAGCTGACCTGAGAGGTTTATTAATTTTTCTTTGTTTCTGTGTCTCTTTCCAATGAGACAAATAGGAAATTAGCAGCAAGATTCAAAATACAAAACATGATGGACAAAGTTATCTTCCCTCATGTATTGTTCCTCATGTCTACTGAGGAAAAAACATTACAGGAATTTTTGCCATTAGGACTTACAGAATCCTGTCCTGTGATGTAATTTCCTGCTCTGTGAAGTCATGTCATGTGAAATGGGAGCCAAGACAGAGGGAAGATCAGAGGAGCAGTGGCTATGGATATGCAAAATCCATATTTTTAATAAATTAAATATCATTCATACCTACAGCTTCACCAGTCATCTGTGCAGGCACCTGTTTTCAGCCTCCCCACATATAAGCCCTCCTGAAGCCCCGGGCTGCTTTTGGCCTGTTGGATATTCCAGCTGTGAGCTGATGCAGAGCCACCAACATCTGCTTACCTGCTTTTTGCAGTGAATGTGTGAGCAAAAGTCTTCTAAGATAAAATAAGAAGGATATTGGCAATTCTTATTTCTTTTTCTGTCCAGTCCCACTGCTGGGAAGAAATCTTTACATGCAAAAAGGAATTCTAGATAAGAATTCACTGAGGATAATAAGGGCTTTTGCAGCCTAAGCTTGGCTGCCTGGCCGCATACTGCTGCATGGAGGGGGACAAGGGGAGAGAAATTGTGCCTCCAGATTTTTTTACGTTGGTTGAAAGGGAGTCAGTAAGGGTCATCCTGCTGATACAATAAGCTTTGCTTTCGAAAAGAAAAACCTTTGCACAACGTTCTTCAATAAAAGCCAAAAGTAAAGGAATGAAAAGAAAGGTGCTCCTCTGGTGTGCTAAACACATAGAAAATAGGAAAGAAAGGGTAGGGAAAAAGGTTCCATGTTACAGTGAGTAAGACTAATACTCCAGGTGTTTGACAAAAGTTACAAAAGTCACATCTTTCATAAACTGATTCTCAGATTGCAGTCTTGACAAGGGAGGAAATGCTCTGCATCTTGGAGCACTGACTGCCTTTTTAAAGACTATTGAATACTGAGGTGAAGCATGAAAATTTAGATCAACAATAGCAGAAGTCAATCACAAATGCAGTGGGGTTCTATAGTCACAGCATAGATTAAGTAAAATGTGTACATTTAAAACTTTTAAAACATCTTATTATTGCTCAACAATTTCTTAATAGGGGCCCAATTAATGACAAGTGAAATATTTTCCCTGATTTTAAGAGGAGCTGCCTGAATAAGGACTGTTCTAGGAGGTAGTTTGGAAGTATCTCTTTGATTTACAGAGCCTTATTTTGTCTCAAGAAACTTTTCTCTTACTGATGGCATTATATTTTTCCTTGGAAACTGCCGATGGTCACCCTCAGAGTTGGCCAACAGTGTTCTTATCAGGGGGATTCTATTTCAGTATCCCTGTGTTAGTCTTATACAGCATCAAAGTTATCAAGTGGCACCCTTTGTTCACTGGGAATACCAAACGAAGATTTATAGCTAACAGAAAATGCAAGCCATTGTTAACCTAACTGGGGAATGGTTTGTTCTCGATACTTTCTTTGTTAGGAAAAAAAAAAGTGCAACTATTTTCTATCTTGTAGGGTATACAGTAATCCCATTCCATATATTCTATTTGCTGCTTTCATCTTTTAATACTGCTTTCTGTCACGTATTTGGATAGCTATAGCTGTTATGGTCTGCTTTCTGTCCTGTGGGTGATGTGGAAAAATCAGTCAAAGCAAATACAAAGGTTGTATGTAAGTCTCACAGTGCAGTTTTTCCACACTACAATATACTTTCAAGAGTATATGTAGGACCTGCAAACAGGACAATAGTGTCATGCTTTCATTTGTGTAATTCAAATTTTTAATATAAATGTAAATAACCAGGTATCCATACTTAAAAATGTGAAAAAAACAAAGCAAGACAACACCAGTTATTCTTCTGTTAAGGGCAGTGCTCAGGTAGCCTGGAAGAGCTGGGAGAGGATCCTAAACTGGCAATCGGGCACCACCATTAAACCACTCTTGTCTTGCTGTTTTACTTCTTTTTAGAAGCCTCAGTGATGGAGATTCTGCAATCTCCCTCACAAATTATCCTTTAAGGTGGAAAACTGCTCCCCAAATATCTCACATCAAATCTACTTCAACTCAGCATCTAATTATATCAGACCCCAAATCTGACTATTGCTATTTATAATTCAGTTCTTAGGAACAAACGTACATTAAAATGACTGTAAGGACTTAGAAAGCACCTCTTTAAATAGACTTGATAGATTCCATTAGTCTTAAGTGCAGTGTTCAGACCGTCAAATACATATTTTATATTTCTAGCCCTGTATAATCCCCAACAATTTAGCCCAAAATAATTCAGTCATTTAATATTCTTGATCCTCTTCAACTGAATTTTCAGTTTATCCACTTACATGTATGTGTATTATTATCTAATGCACAGATATTACGGATTGCACAAGCACAGAATATATATGCTTGTAACATAGCTGGTGTTAGTTTTGATCCTTCCATGCAACCAAACAGCTGCTGCACAGCAATCTAAATGAGAGGGAAGATTTGGGTCTGATACTCTCCCTGACCACAAGAACTTTAAAAGCAGTCACATGGAAACATTTAAAAGGACACTCAATGCAAGAGAGGGGAGGATGTTTCTTACACTAAATCCTGATAATTTGAGATTTTTTCTAAAAAGGATCTCCCCCCCCCCCCCAAAAAAAAAAAACCAGACCAAACCACAGGTGTTTTAAAATATACTTGTATATGACTAACTTTTTGCATCTCAGCTGAGTCTTACCAAAGCATCAGGGAATGCTTTTATTCTATAAAATCTATTCACTCAAAAAGCATCTGTGAATATTGCAGTAATAATGTTTTGACCAACTGTGTAAATCCTATTTTGGTATAAAAGTTTTCATGAAGTAGTTGTTTTTATTGCTGATATTATTTGTTTTCAAGCACAAATCTTTAAAAATTTATTCAAATTTAGATAAGTGAAAATACTCCCTCTTTAATCCTGACAAAGCAACATTTATTTTGCAACAGAAATTGCTCTTTTTTTGGACAAAATATTTCTGTTTATATCACAGGAGAATATGGTTTGAAAATTGGCTTCTTCAGACTGCATTTCACTGCTGAAAATTAAACTAAAAATACTCCAGTCTCCACACTTGTAAAGAATTTCAAACTATTTTTATAAATTTGTCATGACATTCTATTTATGATGAAAATTCTATCATTTACACTGCTAAAAGTTATACATAACCCCACTGAACTCAAATATATTGTCAAATTTCACTAACGTGAATCAGAGTATCACTATAAAATGGAAGTTCAACTTTTAATGAATATTTGCTAAAAGACTAAATTCCACTATGTCCTTTTGATGTTTTACAATAATAGCCCTTGAAAAGCATCAGTCTGCCTCACCTTGTTAATGGTTAAACAAAAATATTTGCTAAAAGGTACGGTTTAACCAATGGACTGGAGATACACACTTAGACTGGGCTTGCAACGTCATCCTTGTATCACCATGGAGAAAATTTTTGTTCAAAGAGGAAAGATAAAACAAAGTCTTCAGAACAGTATATCCCTGCTGTTTGTTTTGCATACCACAGATTAAAGGGTGCTATACTTTAAATTCCAGGTTTATCACCTTTTCTTATAATTATCTCCTGAAAGGTCCACATGTACATAACGCAGAGTTTCAATATTCTAAGGATCCTTGAGAGTCCACTAATCAGGAGGAGTGAGGAATGCAAAGTCACCAGCTGTAACATAAAATGTAGTTAATCCCACTGATTTACAATAGCACTTTAGAAATCTAATGAATGATAAGTATTCAATGCATAATATGCAAAGTAATCACGGGGGTTTGTGAAATGTAAAATATAAGAGGGATATAAGGGTATCAAATTATCCATGTTTATTAATAGCACTCTGGAATTTCTTGTAATTAAAATAACATCACTGATATGATAAATTGCAAAAGAAAAGGAAAGCTACAATGTGGTGTTTTTTTAATGATGAACGCTTTTTCCAAAGGCATGGGTACAAGCAAGACAAGTTCATGTAGTTAACAATCAGGCAAGATAAATTTTAATTGAGCATATTTAATATCTAGCTGTTAGATGTCATGTTAGTGTCACAATGCAATTTAATACAAAAAGAAAAAAAAATTTATCACTGAAATAAAATGTTAAGTTGGCATTGTATTATTAACATAAAGTCAACATACTTTCAATTATAGCTACAGACCACCAGGATACATGTGGAGTGTTACACCAAACATAAACCAGCAGCAGTTTTTTAAGGACATTTGTTCAAAGTTCTTGTAGCCCTTAATCTAAACTTCTTAACTTCCATGACCTCATGAATCAGAATTCAAGATGCTCAGTTGCTTGCAAAAATAAAAATGTGACCGGTGTTATTGAACGTAGAGTCCAAGCCTCTCAAATAGTACAGCAACAGTAGAGCAGCTGAATCTGGTTTTGGTTATTTTTATTAGAGAAAAACACAACTGTTGACAAAATATATCTTCCTTCTAAATTTGAAAAGTTAAAGCTGAAAACTCTAGTTTTCAGCTAGTATCAAACTTGAAGTACACAGAGGTGATTTAGCAACATATGTCTCATTAATTTTCAGTGAAATTAGCACTTCTCCATTGGACTTTTTCAATCGGATGTGTGTAATTGAGTCTACAACAGTCCTTGTAAATGTCACTATTTATTTTAGTTGGCTTCAATAAGTTTTGGGGTTTTTTCCAGATGGTAGCTCCTTGTCACTTAGTCTTTTTTTGTGCTTTAAATTCTTTTTTTATCTTTTCAGAACTATGCAAAACTTATTCCTGGAGCTACTGTTGGACGACTACAGAAGGATTCTGGAAATATTCTCCAGTTGATCATTGCTGCATATCAGGTAAGATGGTTATAACGTGTTTTCTTCCTGCACATCTACATTTTCAAAATTAAATTGCAACTTGGTAACAACAAGTATCTTGTGATCAGTGCATAAAAAGAATCAAAGACCATAATTTTTTATGCTTAGGTGCTGACCTTAACAGAAAAATTGTTATTTACTCTGAGGATTAAGTGAGCATAGAAACAAAATTCCTATAACCTTCTGTCATTCCTCAGTTCTGCTGGAATGCTAAATTCACATCAGTGTCTCATCTGTCTTGCCTGCTTCATAGTCCTGTATTTCACACCTACTCTTAAGCCTTCTTTAATATAGGTATTCAGGTCTCCCAGTTCAATACTTTGACAGGGACTCAACTCTCTTCCCATGAATAGCTGTCACCAGAGCAGATGTACTATTGCTCTACAGGAATATTTGGAGAAAAAAGCACTATCCTGTGCTCAGCGCTCTTCACTGTTTTAGCAATTTGATGCTGCCCCTGTGAGGCTGTTCTGAGGTTTTTAGAAAGCAGAACACAGGAGCAGAAATGGGTTTGTTTAAATAATACCAAGACTTGAAGGGCTTTGTTTAGATAATACTGAGAAATACTGTAAAGATGACAGGAATATAAACACAGTGTTGTTCTTCAGAGATTTATTTGTAAAATGTATCCTGGCTGCCTGGTTCTCTTCTACCAGGGGCATGTTTCTAGACAGTTCTACATGTCTTTACACAGATATATTAATCTACATATATGCTGATATGCCATAGATTTTTCTCTTTCATCTCAGCCCCTTTTTATTAAAAACCTGCTCTACCAGTTGGCTACGGTGCCAAATAACTATTTGCAAACGGCTTCTGTTTCTTTATTTATTCTTTTTTCTGCTCTTCCTCCTATCACCTGAATGAGACGATCACCATTATGTCCAAAATTATTTTGTTCTTGATAGTAGGAAGGTAAACCAAATTCTTCTAACTCATAAAAGCAATACAACTGGTGCATTATGATTTTTTAAATTAAATACAAAATACCAGAATATTTTCTGTCCTATGGAAAATTAAGTAAACAAAGAACTTTAACATTAAACTTGGGAGTCTAAAAATTGTAACTAATATGGGAGGAAATTTTTACATGAACAAAGATACTGCTAAACATCCAGGGGCACCAGGATTTCACTTCTGGAGTCCACCCTGTTGTTAGTTACATCTGGTTGCCACCAGGATTTCTTGAAGCTGGCATGCTTAACCTATGGACAAAGGTTCCTAAATTTAACACCTAAAATACCATTTTGTTGTCCAGTAAGTAATGGAAAAACATAAAATAATTGTACCAGTGCTGGTACCTTTGCTGTAACATTGTGTTAAGTGCAGAACGGTGTTTCCTCTAATTGCAGTGTCATGACACCTTCTGCCTTGCTGGAACAACGGAAGGGTGCAGAGTGCATCTTTGCCTCTTCCCCTGTGTCTGCTTATGCACCTATAGTCCCCAATTTTTTTTTTTTTTTTACTCTCCTTTTTAAACCTGCTGATATTTTCAGTGTCCATTGCTGTCTGTGGCAAAAAAGAGTTCACTTGCACTACATCAAGATACATTTTTCTTCTTCCTATTTTAAACTACTCCGTCTGCTTTAAAGTTTCACCGAGTGCACCTTACTTCTGGTGTTGCAGGGTTTGATGCGTAACAGCTCTGCATTCACCTTACCTTCGTGTCTTCATGAAATTATATCACTGAGACACCTTCCACACCCCCAATCTTATCATCAAATTGGACAATCCCAGCCTTTTAAGTCTCTCTTCGGCAGCTTTGGCTGACCCTCTCTTTACCCTCCCTGACCCCAGTGAGTCCTTGCTAAGATGTGGAGACCAGAAGAGCTTGCAGTGTACAAGACAGGGCGCACTAAGGTGTATACAGAGGCAAAAAGATGCCCTTTGTCTTCTTCTCAGCATCCTTGCTCGGGATGCCCAGGACATTGTTGGCTTTTTAGCTGCTGCGCGCTTTGAGCAGATCATCTCCAAGAGCTGTCAGAGGTGACCTCAGTGCAGCTCCTGAGTTGTATTGGCCGATGCTGGTGTCAGCCGTTCTGTGGGCAGGTTTTGGAGGGGGCTCTGAGCTTGGTGCTCGCTCCCCTCCTGCAGCGGCAGTGAGGCGGCTGCAGGAACACCGCTCCTGCCTTCAGGCCATGGCTCCCCAGTCAGGTACAGCGTGTCTGGACCATGCACCAGAGTTGCTCATAGGTTCTTAAAATCCCACATACGTTTCAAGATGTAGAGAGTGTACAAGTAGAAACATGTCATATGCAAAATTTCCCAGAGACCATTTTATTACACTTAACCTTGAAGGTTAACAATCTTACTGCTTCATGATTGAAAATCTAAGCAGGAAACACTGAAGAACACCTTTTTTGATATAAGTGAAGACATCTGAATTTTTTTGGACTGGGAAGGGGGAAACGGGGGTAGACCTACAGTTAAAAATCGCATGCAAAACAGAAGATCTAATTCCATTTTTGTCACAGACTATTCCTGGTACTTTCAGAAATGTAATTCAATGCCCTGTGTCTCTATTTCTTTACCCACAAAAAAGGAATGAATAATTATTTGCCCTCCAAGAGTAAAGTTAGGCTAAATCTTTTAACGCTTTTAAAGTGCTTTTGGGTCTTTGCTTGCTGTACAAACACATGGTTTGCTAATACCATTTACCATGTGTTGTTATCTAAAAGCTTCAAAGAGGAAGTAAGCAAGTTAAGAAAGTCTGAGCTGTCAAAATATTTGTTACAAGGAGTTCTCATGTTCTTTCCAAGTATGATTCATTTTCTTCTGTAAGCATATTTCTCCCTGCTTTGTTTAACATTGAATTCTGCATAGCTTTGTATTGCAGAGCTGTAGGCTAAAATGCATTGTGGCAGATACCAGGCTGTTTGATTAAAGTTATTCCAGGATTTTAAAATTTGGTCCTTTCACTTTCAGGAAAATAAGATCAAAGTAATAATATATTAAAAAAGACAGGTAACACAAGAGTACAACTTTGTAACACTGCTTTGTCTGTTGCTTCATTCAGAAAATTTTTTGAACCGCAGATGTTTCTCTGTCAGTGGTTTAAAGCTCACTAAACTGTCCATTACTTGTCCCCACACTATGGCCAGGCAGCTTAGTAGATTTAAAACACCACTCGAGGTACTCACAGATTTTAAGATATAAGAAACTGGAGTTTGTCACAGTTTATGGATTCATTTTCACTGGCATAAGGTGCATATTTTGACCTTTCACAACAGAAAGGCACGTTCAAATGACCCAGTACAGATACCAGGATTCAAAGTATTATGACTTGTTTAGCAGCATTTAATTTTCTCTCACAGTTGCACTCTGTTTGAGCCTCATAGTTTTACAGCTGATGGAAGAGGGACTAATTGGTGATAATTCCTGTAATATTAGCACATAACAATGCTCACAGTTTTATCTAGAGATATTTGGTCCTCTTGTAGAGCCCATCTATTGCAAACAAAATCTAAGACTCTCTACACTGTTTCAAGAGCAACATAAGTACCTAACTCTAAAACAAATGTGAAAGGAAAATTGGACATATCCAGAGCTACAAACATTACCAACCTGATGTCCAGAGCACAGTTTTGCCGCTCTTGATGCATGCGAGAAAGAGTTCTGGGTATTATGTGAATGTGTCTTGAACAACATTTATTTCTTTGGTTTACTGACAAGGTTTTCCAGATGAAAAGACATTAAAATACCTCACCAAACACAAACCTGAGACGAATTTCCAGGGAATCCAGGACATGTACAAAGGACAGGGAGCTGTTGTCAATGCAGGTTTATATCTATTCTACTTTTAGTATGTTTTACCCCACCAGACCTTTACTCCAGTGAGTCATCCTGATGCCTTTACTAGAATGGCTCACTGAAGTAAGGTCAGCGAACTCCTCATCCTCTGATTGAAGCACAGGGGGTATTTTGTAAAGCAATTAAGCTCACAAGAGCACAAAGCCAAGTCAGTGAGACTTTTGCTCAGCAATTGCTAAATTACTTTTGAAAAAATTCCATTTACTGGATCCACAGCTCAATGAAGTCATAGGGAATTTCCCCATGGTCTGCTATAGGCTTTGGATTAAGGTTAAGTTGTTTTAAACAAAGTTGCTATAAAATATTTTAAAGAATTAAATATAAAAACCTGGTATGAGAGAGTTCAAGAAGTAAGTTTTTCACTTAAATGAGAGTTTGATTAAACAAATCAATTTAAGAAATGAGAATGTTGTTGAAAACAACTTGAAATAGCACTGACAGCTCATGAAGCAGGAATTTCCATGAGGAGAAGAAAGGAAGGGAGCGAGCCTGGCAGCTGAAGCTCACTGTGGGGCTTGACTCTGGCTCTTGTCCTGGAAACATCAGGCTAAGTCATGGAGGCCCCGCACTGAGGCAAAACTGAGCTTGGAGCCTGCCCTGCTCTGAGAGAGATTGTGAGGTTTGATTCTACTGGGAGAGAAAAAGAGGGAGCAATATTGACATAAGCTGGCTAATCAGCAAAAGTCCAGTGCTAGCAGTGCAATCAGGGACGCAAATATGTTTCTCAGTAAGACTAGAGCTGAAGGGAAACCTGTATCAGTCAGCAGAGTGCTTAGTGATGAAAGATGGTTTAATAAAACATTGAATTTATTCTCCTGCAAGGGCAGGAAATTACCCCCGTGATAGCGGATATTAAACTGATACCACTACTGCTTTCTACTGAAAGCCAGTTCTGTCAGCACTTGCTTTGTTTTGCTCGTTCACCATTTTTATTTCAAGAGAGAAGTCTGTAAATAAAGTGCCAAACCCACAAATCTACTCCTGTGTAAGCTGGGATAAGTTACAGTCCACATTACACAGACGTGGAGCATTAGCAGCGCTTGGCAGTGTTATCGCTTCATTGATCTCACGCCTTTTTCCTTTAAGGAGCTGAGGTCTGAGGTCGAGCTGGAGATCTTGGGAGAGACAGAAGGGCTCAATCTCTCTTTCACAGCCATCTGTAACAATGGGACCTTTTTTCCACATCAGAGGAAATGCTCTCGTGTGAAAGTGGGAGACACAGTAAGTAAAGAACAAATTCTCAAAAGACGTGAAGTCCAGAGAACTTAGGACACGGAGGTAGAGAGCTCGTTCTTTATTAAATAATCTTCCTCCAAACAAGTTACAGAAAAGTAAGCATAAGCTACGACCCTCTTGTTCCATCCTCTGCAAGTGCTTCCAGAGCAGCCTGCAGAGCTACATGTGCTGCAGCTCTGAGCAGCCACCATTTTCTCTTCCAGGTCTCTTTCAATGTGACTGTAAGTCTCTCCTCTTGTGAAAAAACCAGAAGGCATATTGTCATAAAACCAGTGGGGCTCAGTGACACGCTGGAAATGGAAATTTATCCCCAGTGCAGCTGTAACTGTCAGGCAAAGGCGGAGCTGAGCAGCCCAAAATGCAACAAAGGGAAAGGATCGTTCGCGTGCGGGGTGTGCGTCTGCAGCCCGGGGTACGTGGGGCCGCGCTGCGAATGCGACGAGAGCTCCGTGGGCGCCGGCTCCTGCAAGGGCTCGGCCGAGCAGAGCTCCTGCAGCGGGCGAGGTGACTGCTACTGCGGGCAGTGCGTGTGCCACCCGTCCCTCTACGGAAAGGTGTACGGGCCGCGCTGCGAATGCGACGACTTCTCGTGCGTGAGGCACAGAGGGCTCCCGTGTGGAGGTACGGTCCCCTGGCACTCTTTCTAGCGTCTGCATTTTAGGGCTTTATTGGCTCGCCCTTAGCTATGAGCTTGTGAACCTGTATTTTCGTCAGCTGTTCAGTGGTAATCAATTCCGTATAAAATGTAATTTAACATTTCTGAATGATCTTTAGACCTGAAACGGGAAACAATTCTTAACCCTGTTTTCAAATTTGAAAATAAGACACTTTTAACCACTCTGTAGCTAGTCTAAGTTGGCATGACTTTAATGAAGCATATCAGCTACCATCACGCTGGGTCAGACTTTTAATGGCTGCAGATGATTGTAGCTCCAAGGAAGTTTAGGTAAGCGTATTGACGTACATCGGTGTTAGCCAGTGCACAGTTTCACTCAGATATAATTATCAAAGCATAGTAATCTTAATTAATCTCTTTTACAATAATTCTGATATTTTTATAACTTTAACCCACTAACCTCAATGATTCTTGGTTTATCTTAGTCAGATACAATCAGAATTTGAGGACTTGTATTTATAATTTTTTTCCTGGGCTATACCATTATAAATCAGAAGTGATTCTATTGAAACAATGGGAATAGCATTAAACTGGCAGGAACCAGCAAAGAGATTGTGCTGAATAGATAGGCTGAAATTATGCTGCTATAAATGAAAGAGGATTTACCCATTAGGTTGTGCACTGTCAGGAGATAAGAACTATGTGGAGGACTCCAGTGAAGAGAATGGAGCTGCACTGGCTTACAGCCAGTCTAAGCGAAAATTTGATCCTCTGGCTTAAAACTGAAAAAACTAGAGGAGGAAAAAAGATGTTTAAGAGAGAAAAGAGTTGGAGAGGAGAAAATATCTGCTATTAAGGAGAATGATTTTAAAGGCTATCATTCAGATTCTTATTGAGACTGATTTGAAGTGTAATAAATGTTTTTCCAGGCAATGGTGACTGTGATTGTGGGGAATGCATGTGCCACAGTGGATGGACTGGTGAATACTGTAATTGCACAACTGACATCAGCTCCTGCATTGCTGAGGATGGGACACTGTGCAGTGGGAGAGGCGAATGCGTCTGTGGGTCGTGTGCTTGCACCCATCCGGGGGCTTCAGGCCAGATGTGTGAAAAATGCCCTCTCTGCAGTGACCCTTGCAGTTCCAGGCGGTAATGTGCTGGTTTTATGTCTCTGGTGTTTGTGTCATCCAAGTATCAATTTCCTACACTGTCTCAACAGTCTGCTTGCTGCTGCTACTGTAAATTGGATTTACAGACCAGAACCCAAGAGCTTCTTTGCCCTTTGAGAGGGATAGTTGTAACTCATACATCAACAATTTATCAGCATTACTCTTGTACAAAAGAACTTTATGGAAAACAATTTAATCACCTTCAAGCAACACAAGTAAAATATCACAATTCCACTGCTGTCCCTGGCTGTACAACTAATCAGAATGGTGGTGGCCTTATATGATAACATCAGACAAAAACAGATGAACCTCCTTCCAGTCCACAGTACAGAATGAAAACATCTCAGCATATGTGCTACAGCAAAAATGAGGACCCACAGAAAAACTTGGCATTTGTATTACTATTCTCATGCATATTTATATATTTAATATATGTTTAATATATAAAATATGCACATATATTAATATATGTGCATATATATATAAATATATATGTTTAATATAATTAATAAGGTCATGCTGTCTGCTCAAGCTTTACACGTGTGCAAATTCATCATCCAAATTCAGTTAAGCTTGTCTGAATTAAAGAGGCCTAACTATGATAAACTGGGTCATAGTCTGGGGACGAAATCAGTGGGTAGCTGTATGTCATGTATAAGTTGATGATAAATTGATTGTAAATGGTGGAGTGTCTTCTGTTCACTGGGCATACAAAATTTATGTAGCTTTCCTGCTGTGATATGTGGTGTATGCTACAGTGCATGATAGGAAAAGCAACCAAAAATATGTGTGACATAGAGCTGACCACTCTAAGTACACCCATGCTTATGCTTGTATTATGTGAGCTCTTGTAGGGCTAAAGTTAGTCCAAAATAAGCAGTCTTCAATAGAAATTTAAGTCAGAAGTTGAATTAGGCTTCACAGGATATATGTTATTAATGACTCTCATTTTGCTTGCTGAGAACTGAGTCGGAATAAGTTGCATTAATGTTTCATGATGATGTCACGTCTACTTACTTTGAGTTGAGGCCCATCTCTTCCATACCAGCTCTCAGCCACTGTATTTTCATGCCTGCTGTTGCAGTCTACACTATATCTGAGATGAGAAGTTATTCTATGGCATGTGATTAAATCATCATTTATGTTAGTGCTAAATTTGACCTACAAAAGTGAGCCTATTGATTTGTTCAAAGATTTAAGCAAAGGGAACTTCTGCATGCAACTGCTCTAAACACAAAGGACAATGTTGCTGCTTTGCCCTGCCCAATTTGGCAGAGAATAAGAAATATAAAGTTACACGATGGGCATTACATTAGCCTATTTAAACATGTATATTGTATGCAGTGTTGGATCCTTTCTCCCTGTTTCAGTGTCTCCCCTTGCTGAAATGAAGGGCAGGGAACTCCAGAAGAGAGAGAACATTGGGAATACCTGGGTAGCGTAACCGAGAGAACTGAAAGACCAGGTCAGAGGGGATGGAGATCAATGGCTAGGCAGCTGAAAAAAAAAGTGGTAGTATGAGAAACATGGCAAATATGACAAAAACACCAACAACACTGAATTTGTCTCCATGAGATAGAGACTATCCCATTACCCTCTCGCTTTTACTGTTCACCATCTCCAGAGCTAGTGATAAGGTCATCTCCATCCTGTGAAGATAATCTCAGCAGCCTCAGCATATTCCCATGGATATATGTAACTCAATGCAACAGGAGATGGCCAGTTTTTGGGGGATGTTTTGTTGCAGCTCTTCTCTTTTCTTTTCTTTAAACCATCATTCCTTCAGGCTGCTTCTCAGAGTCTCAGCCCCTCAGTCTGGCTGAAGCTATTTGTGAAGAATCAGCAAGATACATTTTGCATCAAAAATTTTCATATATGAAATCTGTTGGTTGTTTCCCTTTTCCATGAAGAATCTTTGGATTTATTAAAAACCTCATTGAATTTCTGGAAAGATTTTCAGAGACTTCTAAAGGAATTGGTTTAGACTCTGTGTTTTTAAATTATATTTCAGTGATTCCACCATTAAATAAAGTAAATAATTTTCCAATAAATTGCATTTGTATAATTAGGATCTAAATAAGTAACTCCTGAGACAAGTAATCACATTCAACAGACATCTGTTGAGACTCCTGAATAGTGTTTTAATACATTATTCAATAGACTTTCAACAAAGGAAGACTTACAGTAAGTGCCCCAGCTTGATCTCTCTGAAGTCAATTTCAGATATTGTTCATCCGATAGGCATTCCTTCGGCTGGTATTTAGTGTGAGCTTAGTTCAGAATATTTATTTTTGAAAATGAATGTTATGTGTGAGTAACCCCTTGTCTTTGATAGACCTACATGAATAACATTGCCTGAGGTTCTGTCTGGTAGCTAATAAGCTGGGAGAGAAAAGAGGACAAGAGAGAGCATATCCACAATACCTTTATTCAGGTGGGGTTTGGGTTTTTTTTTTGGTGGCAAAACCTATCATATTTCTGAGAACTACTGTATCCATAGCACAAGACCTTTTGTTTAGCTTCTTTTTAAAATGCAGATGAATACGTACTGGCTTTTATATTGTTGCTTCGTGACAGGCAGAGATTGATGAGCTGCTGAATTATTTTGCACAGGAGCTGTGTGGAATGTCACTTGGCTTCCGATGACAAGTCACCGGGAGAATGCAGTGAAAAATGCAAATTGGTTGATGCAACTGTCAGCACCTCAAAGGGTTTGTATACTCAGTCTTCCTTTTCTGTGTGTGCGAGATTAGTGATAGGTTCCACTTTCAGTAATTTTATATTTGAAAGTAGCCTTGTTTTTCTGCCAGGGCATTATATTAAGGCTCATAAGGCAATTGCTGTCTGTCTACAGTCTTTCTGTGGTAGGTAGGAAATGCAGATCAGGGCTGGTATTACCTTTCCAGGTTAATTAACTCATTGGATCACGCCTACTTCCTAAGCAGTTTATGTAAGAAAGTATAGAATTTAATAAATACCAGTTCCTGAAAATCAGTGGCTGATGAAATCCCCTGAATTTGTCACGCTTGTTCCACGAGTTCCAGTGTGGCTTCTTTTACCACACAAATGCAAAACCTGACTCCAGTCCTTACGCAGACTCTTGATTACAGTTGGCAACTAGACATAGCCCTTCAACCTGTGGCAAAGATATTTCTAGTAATCTAAAAGCTAAGCACATCTTTCTGTTGCTCAATTTAATTCAAAACTGCCCTCCATCAATGGAAATTTCTGGAACAGGAATTAATCTTGAATAAAATAGTTCTCTCAGAAAAAAAAAAAAAAAAAAAACCAACCTTTAAATGGAATAGTGCATCTTTTTATTTCCTTTAGAGGAAGGTGCTTGCCTGTTCAGTAGGCAGTTTTTATTTATTCTAATGGCAATTCTAGTACAAATCTTGTGGCGAAATGCAGTTGCTAGGTGAGGCAGGATATAGGTAAATTATATCTCCATCACAGATATACCATAAGCAGTAAATAAGACAAATATAAAAATTAGGATGACAATGCAGAATGCTGTATGCACATCTTAGGTTTGTCTGTAAACTGTTGGAAGGCCATCCAGAGCTGCATGCATGCAGAAATTTCATTGATGTACATCTTTCCAACAAAGCTACACCTTTTGTTTTTGATGACATCACTCCATAATACAGAGATTAAAAGCTGCAAATATTTGCCTTATAAAGAAAACTACTTCTAATTTTGTATTTTTATTAAAATTATCATACTTTGCCTTTCTAGACATCAGTATTTGTTTACAAATACAAAAATGTCTTTTCAAGCTTCAAAAACATAGAAGCACTTTTATTGTATCTCTGTAGTTAGCAAAGTTTTCAAGTTGCTATTGCCAGATGGCAGATATTTGTAGCTAGGAATGTATAAGACATTCTACTTTCAAATCTAATGAATACTAATCAAGAGCAGAAACAGCTGTTTATGTGGCTCTGGTCATATACACAGAGGTCACAGGAATATCAGCATAACAATATCATCTCCTGTTCCTGCTTATTTCCTTTTTTTCATGTCCTGTGCTTGCCTGATCTGGACTGTCAGCTCCTTCTTTAGATTTGAAATTTATTTGCAGCAGTTACAGCAACTGCTGTAGTGAAGGCTGGATAACTGTTGCCATCCTAACCCCTCAAAAAAAAACCAGAAACAACCAAAAAAAGCTGTTGCAAACTGTACTTAGTCTTAAATGCTTGTGTAATAGCTTGAAGGATTTGTTTTGGCACAGAGGTAGCCTCATTAAGAAGTTCTGAGAGGAAATAATAATCTTCAAAATAATAATTAATAAAAAAATATCCTAAAATCAAAACAGTATTACCTAAACAAAAAAAAATTCAGGAAGTGGTAGAACCAGACCATCACATAATATTTAAGACAGATTATTGAGCAAGTTCACATGGTAGCATACTCTTTTCTGGTTTATATTTCAGTCTCTTTAATGCTTCAAGGCTTTTTGAAAACTAGAAATAGCTCTAGGTTAAATAAAATAATAGCACTTTAAAGATTTGCTTTCTCTTTTGCATGCGTATGTTGCAACACGATGACTGGAACTGTGGAGCAATAAAAAAAGTGTAGGCTTCACATTTTCCTGTTTCCTGGGAATGCTTATTTTAGCCTCTGGGCCATGCCTTTTGCCTCTTCTGCTTTGGCTCTGCGGGTGCCGGGGGTTTCTCTCCCTGCTCCCTGGGTGCAGGGTCCCCAGCGTGGGCGACCTCTCTGCCTGGGGACCCAGCAGTGCATGAGGTGGCACAGCAGCTCTGGAGGTGCTGGTGGCTTCACATTTACTGGGCTTATCTCCATGGCAGACATTGCTTCTGAATATTTATTTTCATCCATTTTTAATATTTGAATGTTAAACCGGGCTAATCCTTGCTTTGCCAGATGGCTGTAAGAGGAGCCCTTGTTGCTCTACTTGCTACCCAGGAGGAACTGCAATTCCTAGAAAGGGGGTCCTGCCACCACCCCAGCCACAGGGCACCAGGCTGCTCCTGCCACAAGCTCAACAGGGACAGTTACACTTTCCTTGGAGAAACTGAGTTTTTCCTACCCCATCATGTTGACACCACACAAAGTCCCAGCGTAGCAACAAAGTGGATGCTGGAGCCTGAATAAAGCTCCATATCAGCACTGATCTGTCTGACTCAAAGTGAGATGAAACTGTTCAAAAAAAGCAGTTTGTTGAGCAAAAGACAAACAAGAAAGGGCATAATGACATTTAAATTTACAGTATGTTTTTGTTGTTGTTGAATCTTTTATCAATGGATCTGTTAGGAATCAGTCTTTTGTACTTCAAGGCTCCAGCTTGCCACCAGTTCTTCTTCCAGTGACTCCAGTGGTTTCAAATACCATTTAAATTAATGGAATTAGGCTGCAGGCAGAAGTGGGAAAAGTATGATGATTCACTGCATAACATGGAAAATTATACAGGTGTAAATTACAGGAGTTACCTGCCTAGGCAAATTTTTGTGCTGATGAACCTAAACTAATCTATGCAATAGTCTCTCTTAGCGATCCCTCATCCTAAAAATAACATCAGAGAAACAAAAATCCTAAGCATAAGCTGGGCTCTGAATAGCTTGAACTGGCATCTTTGCTTTAATTTCTGCATCCTTGAACATAAACAGATTTCTGCTTCCCTTGGTCTCAAATTATGACATTAAATTTAAAATTACAATTTAAAAATAACTAATATATTTGCAGTTACTGCCTTCTGGTTGATATTTGGAATATGCCCGCAAGTTTTTCTCTGCCTTCAAGATAGCTAAAAACTACCATTTTCCTTTTTTTTTTTTTTTTTTTTTCTTAAAAGCAAGCTAATATTCTTTGGATCTGCTTACTTAAAAGAGTTGTGAAACAACAAATATTGCAAAACTTGTGACAGTGTTACTGGAATTGTGACCTAGCAATGAGTGCCATTAATTCAGTACACTCAGTCTGCAGTTTGTGGCCCTTCTGACAAAACCACATCTTGTTATATCAGCAAGTCTTGTCTGCCTGTCGCCTTGACAGATAACACACTGCTTTACTACCAAGGACAGGCAACAGGTTAAATACAAGATTATCACAAATCAAGAGCATGTTTCCATTAAAATCCAAACAGATGTGGTTCTCTTGTTATAACAAGCAGATAAAAGGACTGTAGGGTAGTCAACTATTTATACTTCTGTTTTTCCTATGGTGTCTAATAATGTATTCTATAAGACCAAACCTTATGATAATAAGAAATATGAGAAAAAAATAAGTAAACAGTTATTTCTTTATGTGCCACAGTTTTCTATAAACTCTGATTCCTGTCTGATTCCTATGTTATGTTTCATTACTCTTCGTATTAAAGTTTGATGGCTTAAGGTTTTTAGCACAGTTGCTTATGAAATTTCAGTAAGAGTTTTGAATGAGTAAGAAATAATGGAGAGTGACAATTACTTTTAAAGAAATGTTTGAGAAGCTTACTGTGAGGTTTTTTTACCTTTAAAAATAAAACCTAATAAGTTTTCCTACAAATGTATTGAAAAGCATACCTAGAATTCCAATGCTATTCAAATCATGGGTTATATGGAAACATAATAAGCATTCAGCCCTAGAGGTGGTATAAGATATAAGGTCAGATATTTTTGCTCTGTAAAAATATTATATAGTGGTTATGTTCCGAATTACGTCATTTCTGGCTCTGGACACATGGTCTCAATTTTCGATCATCTTATTTGCTTTATATTGTCCTTCACAGCCAGCTTCCTCCTGTCTTCCTGTTCCCTTTGAATTAACTTTTCTCAGCAGAAAAGGTTTCCCAGTTAGGAATCATCTGGAAAAAAAAATGGATTAAGTTTTTGGGCAGATCTATATTAAATGGAGAAACAAATAAATGGGGGCAGACTGTCACCCAGGTCTCTTTTTATCTGCTTCCCCTGGCATCACATTACAAAGATCCCAGAAACATAGTTTTCTGTTATTAATTTATATTTACTGTTGTGACAGTACTGAACACACTGATCTCTGAGACGGCTATTGTGGAAGAAATAAACAGCAGCCCTTCTAACAGTATCCATTGATGTTTGATATCTGTATATCTGCTTCTGAAACATAATCTAGGCATGATAGGAGTAGCTGTAAACCAAAGAGAACATACTGCTTACTTTGTCCTATAATTGGGAACTATTATATTTCCTAGACAGCTGGTGGTTAAGCATTGTGGAAGCACTTCCAATTCATTGACATTCACAGGACACTAGACTAATAAGGTGCACTAGATGGTCAGTGCAGATTGGCAACACTTGCATCAGTTCTTTGGGAATGTAAGTGAAAAATCAGAAACAAAACAAAGCTTGGGTTGGAAGAAAAGTCATTAAGTTTAGTAGAAACTCCGAGGATATTTCTCCTTTTGTCTTTCACTATTTACCATCCACAGATGAGGCTGTGACACACATGATGCCAGCAGTCTCTCCTGTTATTACAAGTTAAATTTCATTTGATCTGATGAATTACTTTTTTTTCCCTCCCTCTTCAGATTATTCAGAGGATAAATCCATTCCCTGCTCTTTGCAGGGGGAAAATGAATGTATAACCACATTTCTACTTACTATGGATGAACAGGGAAGGACACTCATTCATAACATAGAACAGAAAGGTAAGCAGTGAATATTGCTTTTTCTATGTGAAATTTGATTTAAAAACACAGACAGGCTGAGCTATCTAGAAGCTGAGCTCTTTTAAGCAGCACTGCACCTCCTTGTGTTTGTAGCTCTTCTCTGCTCAGCCAAAAAAGCACCTCCTCAAGTACTTATTTAATGATGTAGTAAAATAAATACTTGGCCTTTCATGAAAGGTGGACAGAATGGTTCCTGGGCTGCAAGAGTAAGTTAATTTTTCTAAAGCCCCATGCAGTTCAAAAATGATGATACCAAACCTCATTTGCATTATATGAGAAAACTGTAATTCACTTTGGAATTACATACATTTCATAGATGGACAGATATCCAAAAGACTATCTGATTGGGTATATCTGATGAAATTCTAAAATATATTTATAATTATATTTAATGTTGCAGTATCATTAAGTTTAGAGTATTTTGCATCAATAACAGATATTCAACAGACCTCTTTATATACTCTCATTTAACATTACTTCTGTATTTACTGTTGTTTCACTACTGATTTTTCATTAAAGCTCCTAATCATGGAGGACAGGAGACATAAAAATCACTTTTCTGCTGCTAGTTTAGTTTCCGGGCAATAAAAATGTTTGGGGTTTTGGGTTTGGTTTTTTTTTGTTTGTTTGTTTTGTTTTTTGTTTGTTTGTTTTGTTTTGTTTTGTTTTTCTTTGACACACCCAGTGTCTCAATACTAAATATTAGTTAAGTTTAGGGAAAACTATGTAGATCTGTAACCTCATTCTGTTGGCACAAATGGCATCTACTTTGTTAACCCTTTGTGTAGCTTTTCTCTAGCTTATATGTGAGAATGAAAGTAATTTCACCATGCAGAAAAGAAGCTTCTAGCATAAGAAAAGCAGTCTGGTTTTGTATAGGTTACTATTACAGCAAAGATGGTTGTAACAAAGCTAGTACTAAAGAAGTACACCCCTTTGTAAACTACACCTCTAAGACTCAAGAATGTAAGGGTAAGATTTTCTCTTTATCAAATACATTTATTAAGCATTTTAAGTAGATCTTAAAAAAAAAAAAAAAAAAAAAGAGTGAAAGAAATATCTCAAGGAAGGCACATTTCATTAAATTTCATGTAGTGGCCCTCCCGCAACTCTACAATAACCAGCTTCGCTGTTATACACTGTTCTGCTCCCATGCTTTGAAACTATTGTGTTATGGCAGCTGTGATGCACGTGAATGTGACCTGAGATGAGACCTCCAGAAATGCTCTAGAAATTGATTTTATTTTTGGAAGCAAAGTCAAGATGGCACCAGTAGCCAGAGCATTAACCCACTGCTCAGAATTAGTTAAATGATGACATCAAGCAAAAAAGTAATGTGAAATACAATCATGTAAGCCAAGTAAGACTGAAATTAATTTTTCAGTGGCCTTAAACCATGGTTCAGCATAAAATTTTGTAAAACACTAGTGTTCACTGACTTTCATAAGCAATACTTTTTAATATTAACATAATCAATCTTCTTTGTGTTTTGTCAAGTTTTGACTCTCTGAAATATTGCATGAGAAAATTTATTGCAGAACTTGAAATGCAAAATTCCTTCAAATTCTTCAGTTCAACATTTTCAGCAAGTCTAATGGAATTTTTTCCTCATTTTTTTCATGGGTGAAATGCAGTTTCCTCTATTTCCTCAATAACATTGGTGACTTTACCCTGATATAGATCTTGCTAGAATCTTTTCCTTTGCAACACACTGAATATCCGTTAATTGAAGTAGAGCTTCAGCTGTAACATTACAAAATTCATAATCTCGTCAACTCAATCCTGATTTTTAGAATCGTATTCATACAGATCTGAATATAATTTTCTAACTTTTCAGATTCTGGGTCTGTATCCAGCAGCTGCTAATTGACACAGTAAAAGAGCAGTGGAAGAAGTTACCAATTAAATGTTTTAACATTTTAATGCGATATTTTTCAGCCAGTTTCACAAACCCTTTAGCAAGCTAGCAGGGGGCAAAATCACATGGACCTGAAGGAAAAGGCATGCACAGCTTGCAGCAAATGAGAACCCCAGCATACCCCTTAGCACTTTTGTCTAAAATCTGTTGATTGGATATCCACAGTCGTAATTGGTTTTGTTTCCACAGACTGTCCACAACTTCCAAATATTCCAATGATAATGGTGGGTGTCACCCTTGCTATCCTTCTCATTGGCATTGTTTTACTTTGTATATGGAAATTACTGGTGTCAGTTCAAGACCGAAAAGAGGTGGCCAAGTTTGAAGCAGAAAAATCTAAAGTTAAATGGCAAACGGTATGTTAAATGCATCGATTTTATATGAAGTTCTTTAATGTAGTTGCATGATGCACAACTGCCTTTAAAATTCTGTCTTGGTTTTGTTCTTTTAAATTGATATATTTTCCTGGTAAGTTTTCACTACATTTAGTATTCTATAAAGTAAAGTCATAATTTTTAGGGATGAAAAGTAGAGTTCAACCTCCTGATTTAATTTCTTCCACATGTAAAAGCATGTAGATAACACTTTTTTATTAGTTCTTTTTTAATTAGTACCTTGCCTTTGATTAATTTTAGCAAATTTGTTTGCTGCCTATGCAATTATCAGAGGTGTGTCCCTCTTCCCAGAAATGGAGCCTGTTTTAGGAAAGAGAGATTATTGATGGCCTCTGTCATGAAGAGAGGAGCAGTGAATGTAAACTGTCCAAAATGTAGGTAAAAGGCCAGAGAAATTCAGGACTTATCTTCTATCTATAGCTTGTGGGTGTTTAATGCAAGCTTATACCACATGTTCCCTTTTCTTCTTTCCTTTCTGCCCTTGACTGTTTTGCTCTTCTGCAAAAGCTTTAAGACTTCTGAGGCTCTTTGAAAAAAAAAAAAAAAAGCATGTTGAGTAAGCGTTTCTGGTGGGTGTCAGGAGGACAGGAGATATGCTGCTGTTCACCCAGCTCCATTCTTGTACAAAACCCTGTGATTGCAACATTTCTGCAAGAGTGGACACAGCTAGCCTTTCAGCTTTTGAGATGGGAAAAATCAGTTACTTACAGGCAAGGTCACCTGAGAATGTTTTCTTAATCCTTTGGGAGAGCTACATATGGTAAGAGTGAAGGGAAGGATACACTTGACAGAAGCATTTTCATTTTCTTTTCTGTTGCAAGAGGAAATGATAGGAAGTGAATGATGAGAGGCCAGGATTAAAATCCCGGGTGGGATCCGCCCTGCTCCCAATGGGTGGTGGTCTGTGTGGCTCAAGTAAGAGGACTGTGACAAGTCACACCTCACCGCTGAGACACTCTCTGTGCTTTTAGAATGGTCCAACCGCAACATTTGATACACAAATTATATTGGACGTATTCGATAAAGTATTGTTTGATGATGTGCACTGTTTTAATCTGGGAGGCAGATGTGAAGTAAAGGCGTTCCTGACCCTAGACTGGTTTGTGGTGACTCATACTGGTCATACAGACCAGTCTGAATTTCAGTGGCTTGGAATATGTGAGCTGCGGAAGGCTATTCTGAAATGATCAAAGGTACAAAATTACTTCTGTACAAAGAATAGACCAGAAGTCCTCACTATGGAGAATAAACGGCGGGAAGAGGGTCTGTTACTGGTCTCTAAAATTATGACTGGGAAAATTAAAGGTGGGACATTTGTTCACTGAATTTTCCCATGCAAGCACTGTGAGATAGCAGGCTCCAAAGAAACCAAAAGACATCATTACACAACACCTGCTTAGGGCATATGATTGATTTCCAAAAATATTCTGGATGGTAAAAATTTGCATGGATTCAAAATGTCTATAGAGAAACCCATAGGAGGACATACCCTCTGACCCAGGAGGTTTTTGAAATGTATATCAGCTTTTCCATGGGCAGCCTGCATCGCTTGCTGTTGGGAACATGTTGCTGGGCAGGGAGATGTCTGGCCCAAATTTCTCATGAAGAAGAGTGTAAATCATCTTCTTCTGCACATTGGGAAGCAGAGTGGTACTAGCTGGTGCATGTATGACCTGCATCATAACGCTGGGTCAGGAATCATGGACAAAAATGATCCCTTTGCTGAAGAGGTTTGCTCAAGGCAGTGGTGTGCAGCTATATCTGCTTTCAGCTGAAGCAATGGAGAGATGAGTTAAACACTGCATGACTCCCATTTCTTCTGGTTTTGTTTTTGTTTTTGTTTTAGGAAACAAATCCACTGTACAGAGGCTCAACAACCACTTTTAAAAATGTAACTTACAAGAACCAAGAAAAGCAAAAAGGGACCATGGCTGCAGATTTCTATTAGCACCTCTGACACTACAAACTTAGTTTTACTGGCAGGAAATCTAAAAACACTTGTTTCTTCTCAGCTGAGCATATGGTATTTGTACGTTGCAGTGGTATAATCATTCTGTTAGAGAAAATATATCTTGTGTTGGGAAAACTATAGATAACATATTAGTGGTAAAGGTTAGTAGAAATATTAAAAAAAACCCTTTAATATTAAAATCCCCATCTTTGAAAAAAAATCACAAACCTTTTTTTCTCATTAATACTGAGAATGCAAAGTTATCATATGTAAGCCTATTTTTTGTGAAATTAGGTATATACAGTGAGCTGTATATTACTTTGTTCATACACACAATCCCATATATTTGTGTTTAGGAATGTATTTGTCCCTGTCTATTTAGTGGGCTGGTTTAAATTTTAAAAAATAATTTTTTCATGAACGCTGCCTCAACTACTGGGTTTAGAGGTTCCTCGTATCACCTGTGTGACTGAATAACTTTTTATCAGAAACATGTAGTGTTATTGTTTATCTTCTGTGTATCTAAGGTATACAGAAACATCTCCTCTCTAATTCCTCTGTCTTGTTTCCCTCTTCCCTTATCCTTGGTACTGTTTGATGTTCTTTAAGAACCCAGTCCCTGGGTTAACTCAGGGAAAACTAAATCAAGCCGTTATTCACTTGCAGAGTTGTTTTCTGTTCCAGGCATAGACTGCATTTGTTTGTTTGTTTTCAATCTTTCCTTTAAATTCTAGAAGAGAGGATCCAGAGCGAGAGGCATATTTGTAAATTAGAGACCTCGGTAGAGAAACTTTAAACCAGAATATTACCAGAACTCCATTTCACCATTTACATCCTGTTTAGACACTCAAAATAAACCTCTCACGCTGGACCATTACATGAACTGTTGCAGGAGCCCTTTACATGCAGGAAAAGTTCACACACAAGGACCCAATATCACATACAAGACAGTACTCTTTTGTTGATATATCCAAAATTGTGAGGTTCTTTCAGTGCCCAGAAGTCAAACCATTTATTCATGTGTGAAATCATGTATTCAGCTCTTTTGGGCTGTTTTTTTTTGGTTTAGTTTGGTTTTGGTTTTTTGTTTTTTGGGTTCTTTTTTCAAACTAAGCAATAAATAGACCTATGGATTACACTTCATATTCATTTCCATGACATTAATGAGGATTTTAAAATCTCAGTTTTAGCTAATTACTAATGATTTCCCATAAATTCTTAAATTGTAATGCTGTTATTAGGCATTGCACTAAGAAAAAAAAGCCCCAACAAAATCACCTAACATGCTAGCATAAACAGTTACAACATTGGGCTATTTTAAGCTAATAATAATGTACTTTACTTTTTAATATTACTTTTCTTCTGCATTGTTTAGCATTCTGGAACAGATGATCAAAATGCACATATGAATGCACTTAAAAAAGAAGACTTAGAAATCAAAGGTACATTGACACAGTCACAGACAAATAATTACATACATTCCCTATGATAAACCATGTACTTGATCAAACAAACTTGATGCCCATTTTGTAATAAATATTTACAAATTCTGTGCAACTTCAGTCGCTATATCCTCTGCAATTCCTGGATACAAGACTGATATATTAGCTATCTCTGACCCATGCCTGTTTTAGGGCCTGATCCAAAGCCTACTGGAGTCAATGGCTGCAGATAAGGATCTAGTTTCAGTGAAACTATTAGTTTTGGTTTACAAAGATTGTTTTGTTTAAACAAACTGGTTGATATTGTCTGTTAGTGGATTAGAATCTATAGTATATATTTCTGTGCAAAGAGAAATAAACAGTATCAGATGCCTTTGGGAAGAAGGTGACTGCTATAACTACATACTAACTCCAAAATTATTGCAGTGTGAGGGAAATGATGGCTGTCATTAAATGGGAACAGATTAATTACAGGTTCACATCTGCATTCTTCAGTAGACTTGTATATCTCATAGTGGAAGCTGTGCACAGCCAAAGGCTTGCATCTGTGGCCCTTCCAGCCTCTAGACTCCCACAGGTGTCAGTGCGAGTTACATGTGGAACCAAATCCCGTTTCCCTGGTACCCAGATAACTGCACGGCAAGCAAAGCTGGTTGCTGGATTCTGTCTCAGATTCTACTTGGGTCAGGATTGCCTAAGTGACTAGGGAAATCTGGATTTAGCCCATGTAAATTATCTGTTACGCTTTTGTTTTTCATGTAGAAGTCATCAAATGACAAACTTTCTCTGAGAGTAAAATATTTGTATTACTTTTAAAGTAATAAAAATCTATACTGTTTATTAAATACCTTTTAAATTCTGTTTCTGAGAAGGATGATTCTGCTGCTTGATATTAGGGTTGAAAGCCCTTCTTCTGTAGGTCACCCATTTCAATACTGAAATACATTTCAGTATTCAAATGTTATTAACAAAGTGGTGTTTGCATTTCATATCGAACACTTGGTGGCCTACATTCCCTGTTCCTACAGGATATTTCATTTCACAAAGCTACTCGCCCTCTTCCCATCACTTGCATCTTCTGATCATCAGCAAAAGCCCAACTTGGTATGTAGACAATGGGTACAGTCCAATCATTCCTCCTAGAAATCTCTCTCCAAATTATCAAAGATGTACAGAAATCAGGCAATATGTTTTGCAATTCCCCATGCTGTGACTAACTGTAATATAAATGTTCTGTGCACCTTCAAAATCACCAGGATGGAAATAATTAAAATAATTAAGAATTCATTAGAAAAGAGGAAATAGAAGGGCTTGGTGAGTAAGGTCTCTATTATTGACGGATATCAAAGGACTAGGTTCATTCATACAAGCCATCCTTTTCACAGCATTAATTTAGATCACAGATTTTTACTAAACCCCCAGATTTCAAGAACTTTCAAGATCTTACTTGGCACTCACCCTAAAAACACCTAAAAGAGTGGTGTTCATCTTTTCTAATTAACGATATTATTTTTATCTCGTAGCATGTGTACCAAAGTTCCCCTTTTTCTCTTTTTTTCTCCACCAAATTATGAGGGGGTTTGTGTGTGGTGAGTGGGATGAAAAAGTCTTTATGCTGTTTTCATAAATATTGTTTTGACCTGAGGCTGGACCTTGAGAGTGGCCAAAACATTTTTTTACTTCTATTCACTGAAGAGTTAAACTGAATAAAAGAATAAGCATTAGCAATTTTATGGTATTTGTGTGTCCTTTACAACCTGTAGAATGGTAATTTCAGTAATGTATGTTAAATGGATAATTTTTCATTTGATTTATAAAAGTGGCATTTTAACCTGTATTGTATATGTCCAGACTTCATTCAACTTCATTTTGTAATATAACTAGTGGGTAATTAGTCTGGGATACAAGACTCGGATGCCAAGTGCAATATTCCCTATTTTTTGTCTGCCTTTATACAGAAGTTCAAGTTTGTTTTGCAGTGGGCATAGGGGAGTTATTGTCCCACAAAGCTTATCACACACATTCTACAAGTTAAAAAAAGAGACAATTTTTATCATACTCTATTTGAAAGAAACAGGTAATCACCTCAACTGGTTTCTGTAAAAAAAGAGTTATTTAACCTTGAATAAAGATTGTAAAATTTAATGTATTTTTCTTTATATACTTTTATTGTTCTTTCTTTATTTTACATTTTGTCATGTGTCTTTATCATTGTTTTCACATGTTTTGATGAATCTCAGAAAATTTCTCATGCTTTGGCATATCCTAGGGCTTATTTTATAACTCCTTTCCCCCCAGACAGCATATGAGATTTAACATCTGGATTTTCTTCTATTTGTGATCCTTTTACTTTTCAAGGAAATGAGTTAATGGATGAGTGCTGTAAGCAACCTATTTCTGGAACTCTGATTGATTACATATGGCATTCTTTTATACAGTGATCCCTAAATTGCACAATTTACTTAAAGCTAAAGATCCATCCATTCTGTAAGTGTAACAGCAGTAATATCTTTTTGGAACTACATGGCAAAGTGTCTATTTTCTCTTTAATATCTTTAATTATTTTCTTCCTCTAATGAAAAATGGTGTATTTTGATGTCTGCTAATTTCCTGCTCTGAGGAAAGGAACATTCCTCTGCACCCTTGACAGAACTGTATTTAAAGCCCATTGTATTCTCCAGGCACACAATAAGATCATGTTCTCTTGGATTTCACAGTGGATTGTGAAAACTGAAACTAATACAATTGCATAGTTTATCCTCATGGTATGCAATTTAAAATGTATTCTATCCCCCAAAAGTCTATACTTCTTTTGGTTTTGTTTGTTTTTAGGAACAGTTTGTGTCTAGAAACTTTTCTTCTGTGTTTTCATTGATTTATGTATCTGCTAATGTTGACAGATAGCAACAAAAGCACAATAAAGACAAGTAGTGTAGATAAATATAAAGGCTTTGGATTTTCAAAGATCTCCGTAGATGAGAACTTTGTTGAAGTTGGCTCAGTCTCTCACTTCTACCAGTCATCATGCAAAAGCAGACAACCAAAACCCGATTTTCATTGCAATCTCTCCCTTCTTCATGCTATTTACACTATAGTTTAGATTTTCAGTTAGAAAATTTAAAACAGTTTCAAGACATTTCTGTATTCAGAGAGATTAAGTTTTCAAGGCATGATGTATTTTTTGAAAAAGACATTTTTCCACAGGGCAACTTTTCTCAACAGTGGATTTTTTCATTACTATTTCCACATTTAGAATAGGTAGGAGCGTAAATAACCCCAAGGTCTTCATGTATGAAGAAACAAGAAAATTCTATTTAGTGTTCAGCAGTTGGATGTTACCTGTATTTGGAAAAGTGTAGACTTTGGGCTTCGAAGTTAATAGCTCTAGTTCAAAGACAAAGTGTGTCTCCTGTTGATCGTCTTAGGTGAGAGGTTAAAACTTGCTTTCTCTAAAACTCTCAGCTGACTTAAAAATCAGACCTATAATTATAGTATAATTACCATGTAACAAACTCTCAGTTTCTTCTATTTTAGGTTATGGTAGATTTGAAAAAGGACAGATTAACAAAAAGAAAAAAGGAAAACAAAAAAAAAAACCCCACCTCAAACCAAACAGGAAATACAAACCAACCAAACAAAAAAGAACACCAAAAAATCCCCAATAATCTCAAAGATGATAGAGAAGTTAATCCTGAAAATATATCAAACCAGGAAAACAACAGTTCAGGCTGAGAATCCTAGTAATTCTTAAAATCAATGAATTGTTACAAAAACTTTTGACACACTTCCCCTCACCTGCCAATGTCCGCAGGAAGATCAAGTCCTCTGTGGTAGCATGTCATGAGGTACCACACAACGTGACAATCAAATAAACCATGATCAAGCAAGAGAATTTGACTTTTTACCGATACAGTGGTAGGTACCTCTCATATTCCTCCTAGAGGACTGGCAGCTACTGCTTCAAGCTGTCTGGGAGAGCAGCTGCAAGAACCAGTTGATCATCTCCCTCCCATAGGCTACAGGTTTTGTATTCACGCTCTGATGAGCCCTGGATCTGGCAGATATCGGGCTTTATCAGAGAGTGAGCCTTCTCACTGAATGTAGTATTTACTGGGGGTGATTAGTCACCATCCCAAAAGAACTTGTGGAAAGACTGTCCCTTAGGGTTTGTCCAGTAGCAGCACTCAGGAAACTCATTCCAAAATACAGCTGGGAATTTATTGTGGGCTGGATAATCCACATGAAACCTGCATAGACAATGTTCAATTTGAATTGGACTGGTCTTGATCTAAGTAAACTTTATTCCAAAGTAAGGACAAGAGTGTCTCAACGTGTTCAAGTCAGTTTATGTGATTTGCTGTACACTCATCGATTTAATTAATTTCGATTAAATTTTGAGTTCTTCTATGTTGAGATTCTAAGGAGATAGAGGAGAAAGATGAATAGTTGGGAATTTTCCTGCCTTTCTCTATATCAAAGGCCAAGTTACCTGGCCTGACTGGTTTTTAATAGCATCAGTGGCAAGTTGTTCCCACTAGACTAGAAAGTTGTTAGAGCCTCTCAGTGACTCACAGTCAAAGCATCTACTCTATTGTAATTAAAGCACTTGAGTTTTTTTGACCGTACATTTGCATCTGATGATAAACTTGGCCTCACAATAGTAAACAAAATTTCTCTGCAGAGAAACAGTGCTATTCTCGCAAATGTGTCTAGTTCTTTCACAGGAACAATCCACCAGGAAATGTTGTTCTCCTCCTACCTGAAATGAGCAGTGACTAGAGATCATTGGGTTTTATCAATCTGATTTCATTTGTTGTGCTTATTAACAGATTTTCAATTTGGGCACGGAAAGATGCAAATGAAAAATATTTTTTATTTTTCTGTTGTCTTACCAGCATGACATTCAGGGAAGAGAGCAGAAATTTTAATAAGTTGTTCCCTGGTGCCTACCTGTATGTGTGTGTGTGTCTGGACAGAATATAAAATATAGTTATATAAGTAATGAAGACAGATTCTACCACTGTGTGAAGCCAATGGGAGCTCTGGCTTCCAGGCTTTCTTAAATCCTGGTTCTTAAATTCTCCAATATGAGACTGGCTGTATATCTGTATATATGATTTACCACAAAACAAAATATTGAAGATAAAAACAGCAACAAAAACATTCTATGCATTTTTATTGAATATAAAGCAAGATATCTAATGCAAGAAGAAATTAGTTAAAGCATAGAAGCAGAGTAAAATTGCTTTCGGTTTCTCTGTGTGCATATTCTCTAATGAGCACAGTAAATGTTTCCATTAGCTGTAGGATTTCTGAGTCTAACTGTGTATGCACAGCTGGAAAAAAAGCTCAGATCTTCTGAGGAGGAGTGTACAAGGTGCAAAGGCACACCCTCTCCTGGCCTGTGAAGTCATGTCAGCACCTGGTACATGTTATGTCCTAGAATTTCTGCAAGGGTATATCCTTGTTCTGAGTATTACACCCGGTCAAGAATTCTTCTGACTAGATTGATGGTATGTTTTTAGAGGTTGTCTATAAATGACAAAGCTTAAGGCTACGCCCAACCCTCACTTCTGCCCACTCCACTTCATACCAAAGCCAAGCCCAGCTCACGGTCACGGTCCCGTTTCAGACCCCATTAAACCATCAGGATGCACAGGGAGGCAACGGGACCTGGAGAGAGGTGTTTTGCTGGTGGCCACTGCAGACCAGCAACTGCAGGCTGGGGCTCCTGCTGTGCTGCCTTGCAGCTCGGTGGCCAAACTGCCCCTGCGGGCTGGTGGGGCAGCGGGGGCGCGCAGCCGCGGGGGGAACATGCTGACCGAAGGATTTGTGCTGGAAAGCAGCCCTTTTCCTGGAGCTGATAAAAAGTGTCCACAGTGCTTCACTGTCAGAATCAATGTCAACTCCCATTTTTTATAGTGGAACCTGCTTATTCCCTATTGCCCCGATTTATGAGGCTTCAATCTGATAAAATGAAGAGGGGTTGCACTTAAGGAACTGGTTAGCACAGAGTAGAAGACACATCTGGCCAAACAAATCAGGAATGTTTTCACCTATAAGCCTGTTTGCATATGATTAAGAAGCACAGAGAAATCTATCAGTCGCTCAGGTATATTTAAACCATGAAACAAAAATTGTGAAAGCTTTATGGGGTTTATATTTATTCTAAAACACCTGCTAAGCAATTAAATGATGGCTTTATTGGTTTGTTTAAAAAGTATAACATTTGTTCATCACGGTATATGTAATTTATTGAATTGAGTACAATGAGTCACAGGTTTGTTTAGTAAACAAATCTACAGACCAGTATTAATAGTTCTTCTTGGGAACATAGTAGCTACTCTTCTGTAGCGAATCTTTACAAAAAATGTCTTATTCTACTATTGATTTCACTGTAATAGGATTAACAATGGAAGGCTCCCTTGATGGCAGACATGTATGTTTTAAGCGTGCTGACCCTAGGTTAGCAAAGTACTTAGGTGTCTCGGTTACCTTACAGATATAGGTGGGCATACAAAGGCTTAAAGTCATTGTAAGCACATACATGTTTAAAATGTAAGCAACAAATTAGCTTCTTTACCAGGGTTGAAAATTTAAATTAAACACGGGGGTGATTTATGTGACAAATTCTTGAAATGCTTTAACCAGTGGACCGGCTGTACATTACGGCTCTGAGCTCTGTAAACCTGGACTAATTAACAGGGATAGGAAGACTCTGAAAAATA